ATGCATTTTGCCCATCATTGAAAGAAACACACCATCCTACGCTTGAAGTATCATCTTTATCTCCACCAAATTAGTTTATTACAAGGGTAATTCCTATTATAAATGTTAGAATTTTAAGGATCGACATATGTAGGATTTAAAATATCAAGATCTAATAAAATAAATAAATTACATATCTAAATCTTCATAATCAATATGTTATCTAAGAATTTTTAAGAATCTTTAAGAATTATCATAATTTGGAATCTCATAACAAAACTTACAAAACAAATATAGTTAATATTTCGGGATTTAGGTCTTCTTCTCCCTATTCAACATTTGTATAGTGACAATTAATGAGTTATATCACTCCCTAACTCTACTATTTATAAAAGTAGGGTTTTTTGAATGAGAGAGGAGACCTAACCCATTATAATAATCTTTTAGGCACCCCATCAACTAGCCAATCTTGAATTCCAGACCCTACACCTATTCATACTACCCTATATAAAACTGAAATAAAACCTAAACATACTTTTAGATCACATAACTTTATTAGCTTTATTGGTTTTCCATTTGACCTAATTTTGAAAACCAAACAAAATTAGTGGAAGCCCACATAAAATTTCCAACATTCTCCCACTTGGGCAATGCTAATTGGTTTTAAATTTTAAAAAACATATTAAAAAAACAAAAAAGACTCTTGTGTCAAACACAACTTTAGTAGTCACAAATATAAATCAAAATATTAATACAAAATTCCATTCAATGAAAATATCATTATTGAATTGTGCGATCATTATGTCACTAATACCACAAGACCCCTCATAATCACAATTATCAAATATCTCCACCAACATTAATTCTAATAGGTGTGATAAAGTGTAGTATGGTTTGGCACAATGTGATCCATATAAGATATAACATCTCAAAACAACAATGGTCCTCTTTAAAATGGTCCTCTTTATAGTTTCAAAGAAACCCTTTTCTCAGGATGTAATCTCTTTTACACGTCCCTAAGGACGCTTCTAAACTTTATTCTGGCTTCATAAAACCCAAGGAAATAATCTCTCTCACTTTTCTAAAAAAGCCTTTACACTTTAAAAGAAGCTCATACACTTCTGAAGAAGCCTTTTTCATTTATACATTGAGATCTTAGTATCAATATTTGTATGAGCTCATAAAAAGCCATTAGTGCAATGCATTGCATTATTATAAAATAATAAGTGATTCAACAAACAAAATAAAACGTATTAGTGATAGAGAAATCAACTTCTACCACTGATCAAGAATACATGTCTAAAATAATTCTCATAAATAACTAATAAAATTATAATCTCTTGATCAGTAAATTAGTTAATCTAGTTACAATAATGCATGACTATAATCATTATTCATAATTTCACCTTTATGTCACTCTTAATTTCACCTTTATGTCACTCTTACTTTATAAGATAAATCAACAATTAACTTTGATGTGTCTTTTCCATCAAATTCTATAAACAAGTCATCCTATAGATAACTAACATCATCAAGGATAAAATATTCTAATGGAAACAATCCTCCATTATCCATTACTAAAAATAACATGATCTTTAAACTTTGATCAAACACAAAAGTACAAGAGTGACAAGACTTTATCAACTTTAATAAAGGTAATTGCATCTTTTACAAAAATTATTTTCTATATAATTCATAACACATGTGTCTAGGAATTTCACCATTGCAACCAAGCAATTTTTGTTTTTCTTATCAATAATCTTATCATTATATATCAAGTAATAAATTATTTAACTCCCACTAACCTTTAAGACACATTACTTTATACCCCTTAAATGTCTCTAAAATAATTATGTTAGTGGATAATCAACTTTTGCATTAACATAGAGCTATAAAATTGAGAGCCAATCTCTAAATAGAAGGTTAAGTAACATAAACTTAATGGAGGATTTTAATTGTGATGATGCCCTTCACACTTTAATTTATCTAGTGTTGTCATTTACTCTAAAGTAAAGTCTTTCTTTTTTTATTTTTTTAGTACTGACCTCCTGGTATCCAGTAACCACATTGGGTCCTGACTAATCCGGAATTGAGCCACGCCATACCCCATAAGGGGGGAGGCTCTCCTAGTGTCTGTTTCTCCATTCACAAGACTCAAACTCAAGTACTTACTTAAGAGGAACCAAGCTCCTTTCATTTGGACTAACAGGTTGTTGGTAAAGTAATGTCTTTCTTACTAAGGAGGTAGTTATATTGTAATTTCAACCTATTGTGACCATCAAGAAGCTTCATGTATTTATTTTGTTCAACAATTAGTTCAGAGTCGTTTGACTCAATCCTTTTGTAAAAGTCT